GTTTTGTCTGGGTTATTTGTTGCTATTGTTTTTGGCAGAAGAACAAATCTGGTTCCTGTTACTCTGTCTTGGCTGCCAAGCAAAGTTGACAGGTAGCTGTTCTGGAAAGATTACACATGTGCTTATGCAAAGTATTTAGACTGGCTTATGTCTATCTCTCATTAATTTGCAACTTAAATGCTTTTTCATTTTTCTTTTTCTTTTTAATGTCTCTAAAACATTCCTTTGTATGAATATACCATGTCTCATTTATCCATGCCCTATTGATGAACATTTAGATTATTTCTGATATTTGCAATTATTACAAAGAGTGCTGCAACAATCATTCTTATTCACATCACTTTGTTTAGAGAAGACACATATGTCCAAATGTTCTGTAATATGACCGCATCAGGTTACATCCTATGGTATATGAGACTTGATGTCTCTGAAATCTTGCCAAAAGAGTATGAGCAAGCTTTAAATTTTTTTCCAGTCTGCTCTCTAGTTTCATTTGCATTTCTTTTATTTTTTGGATTTTATTTTATTTATTTTTTTTTTTTTGTGGAGCTGGGAATTGAACTCAGGCCCTTGGGCTTGCCAGGCAAATGTTTATTCTACTGAACTATCTCCTTAGCCCAGGCAACTTTTCATTTTTATTGTGTATTTTTATTTCTTCTAGAAAATTTCTACTTACTTTTATATTGAACTCTTGTTGTTTACAATTAATTTATCGTGGTACAGGAATTGAACTCAGGATCTCATGCACACTAAGCTACCCGTGGGCTATATCTCCAGCACCTAAATTTTATTTTAAAATTTTGGTACCAGGAATCAAACTCAGGACTTTGCACTTGCAAGGCAGACACTTGTGCTGCTGAGCTATATCCCCAGCCCTTAAATTTTATTTGAAAAAAATACTAAAACCTTTGGATACCTATCTCTTTTTTTCTTTTTTCTTTTGTAGCGCTAGTGATTAAACCCGTGGATTGCTGCCTGCTCTGCAAATGCTTTCTGACTGAGTCCTCCTTACTGTATGTGTCTGTTGTCTTGTGGAATATAACTTAAATTTTTATGTGGTTATGATTATCAGATTTTTCTTTCATGCTTATTGATTTTTTTCCTTAAAAAATCTTTCCTTTTGCCATAGTTATTAAGATATTCTCAGGACTGGGGAGATAGCTCAGTAGAATAAGCGCTTGCCTGGCAAGCGCAAGGGTCTGAGTTCAATCCCTGGTTCCACCAAAAAAAAAAGAAATTTTCTTATGGTCTCTTTTGATAATGTTAAAATTATTATTTTACAGTTAGACTTTTAATCTAGTTGAGGTTAACTTTCTTGTGTGTCAGGTGAAGAAGAGATATATATTGCATTGTTCATATAGATAGCAGAATGTCCCAACACCATTTTAAACTACTATATTGTTTTACTATCTAAATGCCCCTACCATTGATCAAGTTCCAAAAAGATATGTATGTCTGTGCCTTGAAATTGTGTTCTGTTCTATTAATTTGTTTTGAACTTTTATTGCAGCAATACTCAGAGCTTTATTTCCTGTTATTTTATTATATCTTGCTGTCTCACAGAACGAATCCTTTTTGTTATTTTTACCCCCAAATTACCGCAAATTTATGCTTCCATGTGCACTTCCTGGTTTCTCATTGTCTACGGACTAGTTTCAAATGCTTTTGCCTGGCATTCAAGGCTCTCTATAATACGAACCCTCCTAAGTGTTTCTTTTTACCTCATTTCTCCCATCAGCAGTTCTGTACTCTTGAGTTAGATATTTAAAGAGCTATTCCCTATCCCCAGCAGGGTCCCTTCATCACCTGGTCTCCTGGTCTCTGAAGGGTGGGATTGAATTATCCACTACCCTCTGAAGTCAGGGATCATTGGTCATGTTATTCACCATGAACTGGGGGTTGGGGGCAGTTATTTCCCAGGAGAAAACTGGGCTACTAATACAAGAACTTAGATGGTAAGAGAGCAAAAGCCCACTGCGACTGTCTTGGGTGCTCTGACAGATGACCAGTGGACTGTTCCAAAAATGAAGAGCTGCACAAACTTAGTAACTCTCACTGGGCCTTTTCCATGATATCAGATTCTATAAGAGTATGTCATGTAAACTCAGCTGTGAGGGCTGTCTCATTCTGCAACACAGACTCTTCTCTATTTCTAAACCCATTTACTGCCATTGCAGTTCTGGCCACGTTTACTTAGACCAGACCTTGCGGGCAGCCAAGGCCTGGTTTGTGAGGTTCACTTATACAAAGAATAAAAAAAAAAAAAAAAAGTGTGCTCCATAACATACCTTTTTATCTTAGATTACAGAACTTTAACTACAGTATTACCCAAAATGATACAAAATGAACAAAAGCAATAATACAGTCTATAATAAATAAAAGAAAATACATTTTATGTCACCCTTTTCCCCACTTAAAAGTAACTCTTTTATAACTGTCATTATCTGTTGGGAAAAGATACAAGATCAATAGTGTTTTTCAACACTTCAGGCTACAATTCTGCAGCCATGAATTAAGGCCAGGGAATTTGCCTGGGATATCTGTGGCTAAGTCTCGCTCTGAGGCAGTAACCATCAAGTCACTTGGCTTGCGCAAGTCTTCTGTGCCATCCTCCACACTGATGCCTCCCAGTTTGAAATTTCATTTTTCAGTTGTATCACAAAGCGATACTTAGAAATTCCTCTTGACTATAGACTCTTAAAGAGTCAGGGCCTTCTTATTTTGGTTTGGCCAAGACTTGGTGTTTTGTGTACTGTATGGGCTGAGGTTAAAAACTTGGCATTAAAGAATGCTACCCGTCAACCCACTGGTCCATGATTTGTAAAGCTCTGGTTCACAACACGTGCAGTGCTTCATTAAGTATTGTAACAGTTCTTGTTACTAAGGCAGCAAGTGCTTCTCTCAAGAGTCTAAATTCCAAGTTGAGAATGAAGGGTTAAGGCAGCTGGCTTGTTTGTCCTACTATGTGACATACACCAGTTTAGATAGTTTAAAAATATCTAAATTTGAGGGAATTTTCACAATCCTATGGACTACTACGAACTCAGTATTTGGGCTTCTTGCTTAGGACAAACAGCTTTTTTTTAGACAGATAAACTTTTTAATGACAGGCCCTTGGTCAAATCCAGTGGGTCTGTGTTCCCACTTTTCAGAAAAGGAAAACTGAATGCCAAAGAGCAGTGAAACTTACAATGGGACTGCAAGATTTCTTGAGTTTTGGGGAAATATTAGGAAATGTTGAAAATGTCCACTTTCAGGAGGTCTTCAAACATTCATTGTCAGCAATAGAATTGAAAACTGAAGGACAGAATGTGACAATAAATGGATTGTATGAAAACTCTGGCCAGTGATTAAGATTGCTTTTTTGGTAAATTGCAAAAAGTCATAACTGCCATTTGCATCACACTTTATAGTTCACAAATACAAGAAAAATAAATTGTGATAGTTGCTGTCAGCAAGAAATGACATGAAAGAGTGCTAAGTCATGTATTGAGTCACCTTTTCTCTGAAAAATTAGCATACATTTCTAACACCATCTTCTATGTGATATAAGAATAGGCACAATAAAATAACTTGTGGTTCAGGGATTTGAAAAGCAAGCCAGTGTTAAGAGCCACAACTGAAGTTGTGTTAACAAGATAGCCCGGCTTGATACCTAATTCCTGACAACCAAACCTCAGAAATAATTCCATCATGTGAAGTACAGATAGGACCACAAACCAAACCTCAAAAGGGCCTCTAAGGGAAAATACCATTTTGCAAAGTTTCCCTTCCTGTCTGAAGGCAGACCACAGGAAGTTCATCCTCCCACCACGAATTCCCCAGAGAGCTGAGCTTTTGGCTAGAAGGTTTTGCTCTGGTCCCACGCACAGACAGCACCCTCTTCTCTGAGCTTCTTGTGTCTTCCCTAAACTTCTTGCCTATTCCACGTATTAATTCAGAGATTAAGAAGCCAATTGCAAGACTGCCGTAGACCTCCGGACAACTGAACAGATGAGCAGAGGCACAAAACAACCTCCGGGTGGCTGAGAGGGTATGTACACCTTTGCCTTTGCCTGCATTTTTCAGTGCTGACTTGTGGCCAGGTACTAGTGTCAGCTAACGTGTACTTGCGTAAGCTAACATGCTGACGACTTCGCACACTAAATACCGTTATTGTTACTGCTCTTAAGTTTTTACTTTTCTGTTCCTCTGTATGAAAGCTGATAGAGTACTGGATACACTTTAGAGATTCATATTATTTAAATTACCTGTGGCCTTCATATAACGATTGATGATTAAAAATACAGAATATTAAATATAATCTTCATAAACAATCAGTGCTCACTTAAGCAAAAAGGTTTAAAATCCGCTGAAATTAAAGCTTAATTTTTTTTTTTTAAAGAAAGACTAGTTAATGCAGCAATTTTGAGAAAACCAGAAAGCTTTTTTCTTCCCCCTCGCAGGCTAAACGAGCGTGTGCAGAGCGATCCTTCCCGCTCCTTTGTGTAACTCTCACCCTGGAGGTCAGGCAGTAACTAAAGCCAAAGAAACATCAAAATACTGTGTGAAGTATTAGCGTGTGCCATCATGCAGCGGCGAGGTCCGCCTCAAGATTAGGAAACAGTTTAAATATCAGATCGCCGGCAGGCGTCTCGGTCCAGGCCTGTGTGAGGAGCGAACTTGTGTCCCGGCCGAGGGCGCGACTGGGGAACCAGTAAAGTCACCGTGCGCCACAGCAGCCGTCTTCCAAGGCCGCGGGGTTGCGCCGGAGGGGTCCCTGGCTGCGGTCGCGGGGGCCGGCGGTGGGAGCCGCCCAGGGGGACGCGCGCTCCGGGCGCTCCTCCGGAGGAGGCGGGGGAGACGCCGAGCGGAGGCTCTGCTAATTGCCAGAGCAGGAAGTGAGCTCGAGGAAGGAGCAGCGGAGCCCGGGAGGAGGCGAGGCGGCGCGCAGCGGTGGAGGTGCCTCCCGGACCGGCTGCCCCGCAGGACGCCCAGTGCCCGCGCTCCCGCTCTCCTCCCGGCTCAGCTCGGGCGCCCGCCTGCCCGCTCCCCGCCCACATGGCTTCTCCGAACGACCCTCTGCGCTCAGGTAAGGTGACACCGCGCCGCGCCCTCACCTGCGGCGGGGTCGGCTGGCGGGAGCAGGTGGGGCGCGCGGCTGCGGCGGGGCGCTTGGGTCCAAACCTCGGCGGCTCCCAGGGCACCCCAGGACACCCGCTCGGGCGGGACGGGGTCGGAGACGGTGCCCCCCACCCCGGGGCCACCCTGTGGGCAGCCTCAGCCCCGCGCGGGCGCTCGGCCGCTTTGTTCCGGGCGCGGGATGCCAGGTTGAAACAAGTCGCGCCAACCCCCGGCAGAGAAGAGCGCATGGGGTGTATTTCGTTTGCTCCTCTTTGCCCTCCCTGCTTTCTAGCTTTCATGCCTTTTGTCTTCTCTTCCTCCCTTCAACGGCTCTTTTGTCAATGTTGGGTCCCCCATCCCAGCCCCAGAGAGTTTTCATAAATTAGAATCCACAGAACTCAAAGGCGGAGCCCATCCGTGGAATCCCCACCTGTGGAGGCCTTTGATTAGAATGTCCTCTAGTGTTGTCCCTATTTTAAAATATTGTACATTCTTACCTGAGGCCAATATCTAGATTTTTCTTTCATCTCTCACCTGGATTTTAAATCCTTTTTAGAATTCACCTTCTAGGAATTCTCACTCTTAACAGCCTAGATGCAAACTCTGCGAATGTTTGTGGAATACACTTCTGAATGACTGATACGCCCCTCAGGGTGCACTGGGGCTGTATCTGGCTTTGCTGAGGTTGGACTTGCAGGGGAAGAGCCACCCTAAGCGAGATGCAGCTGTTCAGATAGACATGTTTCTTAATTTCATTTCTGGAGCGTGGGCAGGAACAGAGCTGTACTATTCCAATACTAATTTGTGGCTTGAGAACCCAGGAGGAGACAGAATGTGTCTAGAGATGGTTAGATAGAAAATAAATTGTCTAAATGTCCTAATGTACGTTTCGTTTGGAAAACAGAAGGGGAAATAAAGGAGAGATCCTTCCCATTTCCTTTCCGCCTCTACCCTTCATCCCCTGGTGCTGAGAACCTAACTGACAAGGTGTGGAGGGATGTTTGGACAAGGTTTCAGTAATAGTGGTGTTAGGTCTTACTGGAGCAGGTCTTAAGAAAGATTCACTCAATAAGAATACAGATGAACTCTGCTTGTGCCCCACCCCAGAAGCACCACAGGTGGGGGCTGAGAACCCATTCAGCAGTGACCTCAGGGATAAAAGCCTCAGTGAATCACCAAAGGGACTCGGATGTAAGGAGGTCAGCAGGGGAGTAGTGTGGTGTTAGGCGACTGTAGTAGCACTGCAGGATGTGGAATTCCAGGTACCTTCAGTTCTGCGTGGCCCAGCCAGAACAGAGGCCCACAGCCTGGATCAAAGGAACTTGAAAGTCCAAGCACAGGTGCAAAAATGCCACAACAGAATGTGTGACAGGAGGGTATCCTGGGGCAGATCTGTCTCCTTGACTTTAGGAGACAGAAATCAAACCTGTAGGTGAGATCTTTGGGATGTGGGGCCCCAGAGGCAGGAGTGTGGCCTCCAAAGGTCAAAATCCCTTGTCACCATTAGCTGTTGAAGACTTCCCAGTGCCTAGAAGATTGGTCTCAGTATCCCTTCCCAGTCTGAGGTTCTGTCAGTCAAATGTGATTCTTCCACTAAAGCACACCCAGCTTCCCCTTCTAAACATTTCATTCCATTTAGCAACCACCCAAGAAACTTACCTCCCTTCCATCTCTGCAGTGAAATTGTGGATGGCTCCAGTGGACCGAGGCCATTGGCATTTTCATTTCTCCCTAGACCTGTTACCACATTCTCACCTGGTTGCCGAGCTTACTCCCACCTGGTGATTTCACACTCAGGCTTGCCTGCTGCCAACCCACTTTACAAAAGGTGGTCAGAGTGATCTCTGCAGAACAAGTCAGATCCTGTCATCCTGCTTAGAGCCACTTTCTGACAAGTCCTCAGTCCTTGAGTGGCTTCCACGCTGTGTGTGATGAAGCCTGACCTGTTCCTTAAACCATTTAGTTAGTGCCCCCTTTAGCCCCCTGCTCTCTGGATGGCAGCCATAGGACCTCATTTCTGTTCCTGGAAAGCCCTCCCACCCTCCTGGCCTTTGAATAGGTTGCTTCTTCTGGCTGAAAGGCTACACACACACACACACACACACACACACACACACAGTTACCTCCCATTTCTCTGAACTTCAGCTCAGAGGTGACCTAGCCCCAGGACCTCGTGATACACCCTCACACATTCCTTCCTTCTCTGCCACTTGTCACTGATATAGGTGTGATTATTTGGCCAGTAGTCCAACTCCACTGAGGAAGAATTTGGTCCTTCTCCCCTGTTGGTGTATAAGCTCTTTGTTAGAGACCACATCTTTTTTTTCTCTCTCTCTTTTAGCTTACCTTTATCACCTAGCCTAGTACTAAGCCTTTGAAGAATACTTACCATGAATGAATGAAGAAATGAAATCTAACCACATATGCATCAAACCATGGGGGAAAAACATTCTTCCCATATTGGCATCTTAAAAATTTACTATTGAGTTAGATGTGCTCACTTGTTTACCTTGCAAAGTTTTTTTGGTATACATATTACTATGTTAATTAAAAAATAACCTTTGACATTAAGAAGATTCCCAAGACACTTGAGGTCACAGAGAAGGAAATGGTTGTGCTTGTTATTGTTGTTGTTATTATTTTTATTATTATTATTATGTATTTGGTATAGGGTCAAGCTACATAGCTCAGACTCGTAGTGTTCCTCCTGTTTCAGTCTCTCCACTGCTGGGATTACAGCGATGTGTCACTATGCCTGGTCTTGGTGGCTGGCTTGGGGTGCCTGGGGCAGGGCTGGTGCAGCATGTGGTGCTGGGGATCAAACCCTGGTCCTTGAGTTTACCCAGGCAGGCGCTTAGACCGCTGAGCTATCTCTGCGGCCCTCGTGCTGGTTATCGAAGGTTCCAGAATTGTCTGTTAAATGTAGATATAATCTAGTTCATTTATAGACATACAAGGGATGATCAAAAAATATAGTGAGTGTGTAAATTTTTAAAAATTACAATAAAAGACACACTACCATTAATCTACCTCAAAGTATTTCCCTTTGCTTTGCACAAACTTACCCCATCATTCCCGCCACTTTCTGAAGCAGTTCTGGAAGTCCTCTTTTGTGAGTACTTTTTACAAAGAGTGATCAAAAACACCATAAATGTTACTACCAAGTGCAGTCCTCCAGAAAGGAAAGCTTGTGAAAACATTGTGTTGTGTTCTCATTCACCTTATTCACCAGATCTCACACTGCAATTTCTGGCTCTTCTCCAAAGTCAAGATGACAATGAAAGCTAAACATTCTGAATCTATTCAGGACATCCAGGCAGCCATGATGATACAACTGAAGATACTTCCATAACTGCTTCAGAACGTGATGAGCATGATGGCATAAATGTGTTTGAAGCGAGGAGGAGGATTTTGAGGGGGATTAATGACAGTGTGTTTTGCTGTAATATTTTTAATAAAGTAAACATTTACTGTATTTTTTACCACATCTCTTAGATATGTTAAAGACAGATCAAACCTGGGTGCTCTAAAGGTCCAGGTTGAAGAAGGAAACACTTGGAAGGTTGGCCAAGGGGACACTTCCTTGGTATCAGGGAGCACAGCCACACAGCTCTCTCTTGTTCTGGGGCCCCTTTTGCCTTGTGCAACATGTTTGCTCCCTGGCAACCCCAGCCTTGGTCTCCTGTCCATCGTGGCACCTTTGTAGGTACTGCACCCATCACTGGCCCTTCCTAATCTTTCTTTGGGCAGCCGTGGGTCTGAGATGGCAGTGCCCAGGGAGGGAGCACAGCCAGAGCTAGAGGGTGAACCTCTTCTGGGAGCTGTCGGTCCAGAATTGGACCAGCTCTTTTTCCAAAGCCATGAAAGATGGTGGTAACAATGTGTGATCTTCCCTTCCTTTTTCCCTCTCTCCTTTCCTTCCCTGTGGATTTTTCCAGTCTCCCCTTCATTTCTTCACTGACTTGTAATGCCTCTGCTTACTCAGTTTTCTTCCCTCTGCTGTAGTTGTGTCGGAATCTCCTCTCAAATCCCTTTGTCTTCTCTTTGCTCTCTTTCCTGCTCCTTCTCTTACTGGGCTGATGAGGCTGCTGTCCAGAGAAGGTGGCTGAGGATTCCGCTTGCTTGTTCAGCCTCATGACGGAGGGGAAAGAGAAGAAGGTTGTCTCTGCTACCAAGGTAGCCTTTCTGCATACACTGTGAGGGCTTTTGTGATTCCCACTGTGGTTCAGGACACCAGGGTTTCTTTATAACCACTGATGAAGACAGCCAGAGGGCAAAAGAAAACTATGGTTAGAAAAGAAGAAAAAGTGAATTCTAACTCTGAAATCACCAGTTCAAAGAGTTGTCTTTAATTCTTCACTAGAAAGCACAAAGGGCTCCACTCTTTGGCTCAAGGGGCTTGAGCAAGCTGGAAGTGCTGGCCGCACCTCCCCTCTTTGTTTTCTCTGAAAGGACAGCACTGGGGAAGATGTTTGAACTTCCTCCAGGAAGCTGCTTTTCAGAACTATGGCCTCTCTAATGTGACAGATAAAGAGAGATGTCTGTATGTGATGCTGCCCTGGGCAGGAAGCTGCTGTTCCTTCTGCAGAGGCTGCAGCCCGGGTGTTTTGTCCCTGTGCCTGGGACTGGGCACGTGTGGAGGTTTGGGTATCTGGGCTGAGGTTGTGGGTTTAGAGTCAGCTCTGGAGTGATGAAGGCTTTGCTGGGTGGAGGTGGAGGGCAGGGTGATGTGAACATGTGGACGGGCATGGACGAGGTCAGAAGGGAGATTTTTAGGGCTTGGATTGTGTCCTGCCCTCTATAATATATGTTGAAATCCTAACCCCTAGTACCTGAGAATGTGATCTTATTTGGAACTATAGGGTTCCCCCCACACACAAGGTGATCAAGCTGAAAGTCTTTAAAGTGGATTCTAACCCAGTATGACTGGTGTCTTTACAAAAAAAGAAAATCTTAAAAAAAAAAAAA